AGTCTTTGCAATATTGAAACCAGCTGTTATAGATATTAAGTTTCATATTGTTAGTCATTGTTACATGTGCTCCACAGACACCGTTCGGGATATTGTGCAAGGCAGTTTCATCAGGCATTACATTTTATCGTAAAACCTCAAATCCACCACGTATTTCAAGCGGGCATTATGACAGTGTCGCTAGATTAAATGACAGACGGAACAACGAGGAAGGAATAAACTATTTAATTAAAATATCCTTTATGGTTAAAATAACCTTAAGGGGTTTATAATATTAAACCCTACAGGCCAGCTACATGTTTGGAGACTGTGGTAGATGGTTTAAACAAGCATGCAATCTTATCTTAATTAATACAATGATCTTCTTTCGTTTCCTTAGGACATACAGTAAAAAAACTCGTTAACTCGAAGTCCTAAGGACAATGAAACATATCCGAAGTTCGAGACAAGAGGAGCACTAATGTGGCGACGCGATGTGTGTGTGTGTGTGTGTGTGTGTGTGTGTGTGTGTGTGTGTGTGTGTGTGTGTGTGTGTGTGTGTGTGTGTGTGTGTGTGTGTGTGTGTGTGTGTGTGTGTGTGTGTGTGTGTGAGACCATTGCGTGTGTACACAACAAGAAAAATGCCCTAATTTGTTTAAATTTACATTTAAGAAACAAATCTCCATAATAGTTCTCCAAATTATTTCGTATTTCGAAAAGAATGACAACAGAAAAATGAGAACATAAATGCTTATCCTGTCCGTTACAAAGCAATGGCCATCTTGCATGTAGAAGGTGACACGAGGATTGAGGTGAAATGAGGAGTAAGGTAAACTTGGGTTGAAGGTCGCGTTCAAAACTATACTGCACACGTATATAACGACGCGTGCTCGCATGTGTGTGTGTGTGCTCGCATGTGTGTGTGTGTGCTCGCATGTGTGTGTGTGTGTGTGTGTGTGTGTGTGTGTGTGTGTGTGTGTGTGTGTGTGTGTGTGTGTTTTAACGAGATTTCACTGAATAATTGATTCAGAAATATATATGTAAATTATGGAACCATGTTAAGTTCACACATGATTACCCGTGATAATTAAGGTAAAAATATTAATATGAAACTTAAAACCACGGCACAGTTCAAGTGGATATTATGACAGCGACAGGTGAGGAGATGCTCGGCGCGACTGTCATGACGTCCCCGTCCTCAATCACTTGGCGACACACAGCCTAGAGCACTGTAACACCGTTCTTCCGACACCATGATAGGCGATTTGAACACACTAACAAAACGCATAGGAGGTTTTCTCACGACGTTGTTGTCACTGCTGTTGACGAGGGTCAAACGAATGTTCCGCGCCGATGTCAGCCACTGTCATCTCTCAGGTAGATATTTGCAAGTATTGGTTCTACCGTATTAGAACTGTTTTCCTTGCCTGCCTGATCATTTGCCTGTTTTTAAAGTCGGAAACACAAAGGGTATCTGGTTTTGTAGGTATACAGGCGGTACGCGCTCTTGGCTAAATGGGAGTATGTGGTACGTCATTCATTGGGGATGATATCAAAGGGAGACAGCTGGTCACAGGTGCTATGTTCTCACCGTGCCACGCCTAGACTGGTGCTGCTGGATGCTGAGACGCTCTGGTCAGTGTGCTGTGGTCATCGCCTTACCTTGGGATGTCTAAAAGCAAGATTCTTAACAGCAAGGCAATTAAGCCTTAAGCATTTGTTTCCGTTGGGGATAATTATTTCTACTTTGTTCAAAATTCGACTGAACAACGTGGTTCAGAGTAAGCCCTACGATTGAGACTGTTTCCAAGGGGCGATATATCGTCAGATAATTTACCCCCGAAAAGCCTTTAGTAAAGTAACGGATAAGTAAAGTGATGGCTAATAACATTTTTATTATGAACAGTTGGTTTACGTATTCTTTTCTCAAAATCTTGGATGGTCGGAAAAAATAAGATTAGATCATTTAGCCCTTTATTCGTTTTTTAAGAAACTGGCATCGGACAAAAATCAAATTCTCTAATTTCGTTTAGCATTTTGTAAACTGTGACAGGAGTGTTAAAACTTGCGTTGTTAGTAAACCACATACTGCTTGGCGTAGGAATATCAGGTTATAGAAAGGGTCTCAACTGGAATTTTCTTGCATTCACATTCCAGGATTTTAGGCTCAGCGGATCCATACACCAGAGAAGGAAAATAAAAACGTCCATAGGTTGACTTCCGGTTTTAATCAAACTTAATAGGCTTGATGAAACCAGAGCATTCAGCATTGAACACTCGTGCCATTCCGGGACAAGCCGAATGTAATAGTGTTTTATTTAGTGTTTGTGGGCCACGACACATGTACAAATCAGTACGAATATGCATGATATAATATGACAAATTTCGCGTTCGATTTGAAAACCCTTTACGGCCCAGGTGAACCGGTGTTGACCACGGTATAACCAAAGATAACCTTGGGGGACCAATATTAGCACATGTTAACTATTTTCCGTCATACTTCGGTTGATCTAGTTTTCTATACCTACCGAACTCTTGGGATGCGGTACATCAGTTTCAATCATGAATAGAAGGATTTTAATTAATATAAATAACCAGATATTGAGAATACATGCGTATACTGAAATGCGTTATTGAAATATAACTTTTTCGATCGTTGATATAAATGCTTTCGAATTAATTATGCAACTTTGATAATGATTTGGATGTCGTTTGATGTTCTAGGCGTGAATTTTGAACTTTCTTGTCGTTTTGCATGCATTTAATGGAAACGATTATATATACAATGATAGCTTTGTCAAGAAATGAAACACTTGTTAACTTCTCATATATAGTTGTGTGTTGTTGTGTTGTGGTGTTTCTCCATCTCCTGGCAAATTTAAGGTTGCATTTTATACGTTCTATTTCGGATACTTCTCTTAGTTATCCTTGATGAACAATGGATAACTTATTTTGACTTTAGTCACCCCTGGTTGCCAGAAATGTTGTAACCTCGGTTGACTCTGGTCACTCAAATTTTCTTAATCGAACCCACCTCAAGTCAACTGTATAATATGCAGACTATTGTGGTGTCAAATACATATTGAGAGCTCCCCAAGCCGACTGGAGGTCAGTGTAAAGGTGACGAATGGTGACGAATGGTCCCACAGGTGTTGCTGCTGACAGGTTGACTCCGACTCTTCGTTACAATGGTCTGGATACCTGTAGGTTTCTGAGAGACCGCCCATAATGCACCGATTTACTGGGTCAGCATAGGACTACATGTGTTACAGGGATTACACCCTAATATGCAGCCATGGCCGACAGTTCATAGCTTTAATGATAAGCCTGCTGGTTTGAACATCAATTATTTACCGTCATAACAATATTATCGGTCATGGATTTTGGCGGCCTTCCTTCTAACCACCCTTCTACATCTTTGATTATTCTTTTCAGACACGACTCAGAGCTCAGGTAAGCTGATAATATTTTGGCCAGACGGCAACCAATCTCATTGAAATCAAAGAAATAAAGATCTGACGATATTCCATTACGGGTCACCCCAGAATTACCTTTCATCCGAATGAACCCGTCAAAATCATTGTTTGAACATTTGAACGGAAGCATCCTTGCATTATACCGCCATGCAATCTTGGCCACCTATTACACATTCAAGAATGTTGTTTTCTTCATTTTTCAAATTTTGAATCGAGATCTATTTCAAAGCGTAGTCTTGAATTGAAGTCGCCAGTTTGAAACCAGTGCAGTATAAGTGCTCGAGAAAGGTTCTTTCTCTTTGGCTAATGTCGACTTCTTGTTAGTCATTTGATTGGTCGGGCGATAACTCTCTTTCTGAAATGATATAAGCGACGGTCATCAGGTCAATTCGAATGTTGAGACGTAACGAATCTTGAACGAGTTACTGTTTCCCCATCATCAAAAACGGTCGTTTACTTCTGAATTTATGACACAAGTAACACATTTTTGAGTTACTGGTATTATAGAATAGTTAGTTGCTCAACCTGGTTCAATCTGCGAATAGAAACAAACTGACGTGATGGCAGGTAACGGGGGGCAAAACGCAGAGATATAGATTGTGTCGCCTTTTCTACGTCCAATAAGAACTAGTATTGACGGGTAACATCACATCAATGAAAAAATTCAAACTCACTTCATCCCTCACATCAGCCCAGTTGGTTATTTTCCACAACAGCAAATGTCTAAACTCGATTCCCTTCTACCATGGACTTCAACGTAATAAAGTCGGCAAATACGCACAGATATCCATAAACTACCATGACATTTTGTCGTGTAGATATGTACTGAAGTACACTGACACAAGATAATAACAATATTGACGGAAATTTGAAAAACAATCATTACTTTGTTCGGAAATTTAAAAGTGCTCAAAACCTAGTTGCATTAAAAATGGAGTTTTAAATATCAATAAGTCAAATGAAACGTTGCGTTGTGCACGTGATAATCATTGAATTTCATTCGACAAATTAGTTTATACGCCAGTCATTTAAGTTCTTAAATGGGTAGGGTGGCCAAATGACTTGTAATGTGTATCCCCCCCCCCCCCCCCCCACCACCACCACCACCACCACCACCACCACCCACACCACCACCCCCACCCCTCCCCCACCACCCCTCATTTCAGCAGCTATTTACATACAGAAAACAGACTCTGAGACTTATGAAGAGGGTGTATTATCATCGGTGAGTAGTTGTGTGGGGCGGTCAGTTGGGGATCCCACTAGATAATATACACGACATATGTGTGTACGCACGCACGCACGCACGCACGCACGCACGCATGCACTCACGCATATATGTTTAAGTGTGCGTAAGTCAATCTCTCACCTCTCAAAGTACAGCAACACGTCATGGGAGGCCACATTAACAAAGGGATTGTATTTATATATAAAATTTACACATTATTCTAAAGACAACTCTTCTCAACAGACACATATAATTTCACACCAAACTATGAAATCATGTACATGTGTTGAAATATCACGAAATTACAATTACAAATACATAGCTATGCCAGGGATGTTTTGAAGGGAACTATTGATGGCAATATGACCAACTGTTTACATAGTTTGTGCTATGCAAACATGAATATTGATCGCTGAACATTTTGCATATAAACCCAATCAAATTTCCGTTATATTCCGTTTTCTCAATATATGTTTTAAAATATTCCATATAGGAAGTGTCGTGCGTGGGTTATTGCATCAATACATGTGTTCGTAACATATTTTGCATCGTGTGTGTATTGCACGGAGGAGACGGGACTCCATTATGTGCTGTGTCGCTGTGCTGTTTGGGTACCATTCTGTGATGTGACGATATATAGCACAAGGTATATTTGGTTATATGTCGCCTTGCTGTTTGAAGATCATTGCGTGATATGTCGCTTTGTTGTTGGTAGGTCATTGTGTGTGTTGCCTTGCTGTTTGAACGTCCATGTCTCTTCTGGAACTATTTACTGTTTAATTCTTATTGATAAGTGTCCACGATACCACCGGTACATTTTGGTAAGTTGGCACAAGAGCATTGTATATTCTTGCAGATGCTCGCAGGTACCGGATCATGAGAAACAGGTGAGCATTTGAAAGAGTCGTCAAATAAATCTTGTCGTGGACCAAACATGCCATTAGATCATCAATGTTTTTCATCATCAATGTAAACAAAAACAATATTTAATATGTTTTGTCATAAACATTTAAAAAGGATAAGATTATTTTTAAATGCTTTTTTTGCATTGAACAATATACTAAATATATAACGTTAACGTTAGAGAACAACCAGTCTCGATTGTCAAATGATAGTGATTCCATTGGGCGTAAAAGGCAAAAGAGCGGTGAAACTTGTATGAATGGATCACTGAAAATCAGTAATGTTACCGGGTATTCGCGAAAAGGGTTTGAAATATTGAAACATTGAAAATATTGTAAGCGGTGCTTGGTGCGAGATCCACTGCTGTTGTGCTATATATTCGCCATGTAGACATCCAGTACTGTCGTATTATATATTCGCCATGTAGACATCCAGTACTGTAGGTTTTTTTATTCGCCTTGTAGACATCCAGTACTGTCGTGTTATATATTCGCCATGTAGACATCCAGTACTGTAGTGTTATATATTCGCCATGTAGACGTCCAGTACTGTAGTGTTATATATTCGCCAGGTAGACATCCAGTACTGTAGTGTTATATATTCGCCAGGTAGACATCCAGTACTGTAGTGTTATATATTCGCCATGTAGACGTCCAGTACTGTAGTGTTATATATTCGCCATGTAGACATCCAGTACTGTCGTGTTATATATTCGCCAGGTAGACATCCAGTACTGTAGTGTAATATATTCGCCATGTAGACATCCAGTACTGTCGTGTAATATATTCGCCATGTAGACATCCAGTACTGTAGTGTTATATATTCGCCATGTAGACGTCCAGTACTGTAGTGTTATATATTCGCCAGGTAGACATCCAGTACTGTAGTGTTATATATTCGCCAGGTAGACATCCAGTACTGTCGTGTTATATATTCGCCAGGTAGACATCCAGTACTGTAGTGTAATATATTCGCCATGTAGACATCCAGTACTGTCGTGTTATATATTCGCCATGTAGACATCCAGTACTGTAGTGTAATATATTCGCCAGGTAGACATCCAGTACTGTCGTGTTATATATTCGCCAGGTAGACATCCAGTACTGTAGTGTAATATATTCGCCATGTAGACATCCAGTACTGTCGTGTAATATATTCGCCATGTAGACATCCAGTACTGTAGTGTTATATATTCGCCATGTAGACGTCCAGTACTGTAGTGTTATATATTCGCCAGGTAGACATCCAGTACTGTAGTGTTATATATTCGCCAGGTAGACATCCAGTACTGTCGTGTTATATATTCGCCAGGTAGACATCCAGTACTGTAGTGTAATATATTCGCCATGTAGACATCCAGTACTGTCGTGTTATATATTCGCCATGTAGACATCCAGTACTGTAGTGTAATATATTCGCCATGTAGACATCCAGTACTGTCGTGTTATATATTCGCCATGTAGACATCCAGTACTGTAGTGTTATATATTCGCCAGGTAGACATCCAGTACTGTCGTGTTATATATTCGCCATGTAGACATCCAGTACTGTAGTGTAATATATTCGCCATGTAGACATCCAGTACTGTCGTGTTATATATTCGCCATGTAGACATCCAGTACTGTCGTGTTATATATTCGCCATGTAGACATCCAGTACTGTAGTGTTATATATTCGCCATGTAGACATCCAGTACTGTCGTGTTATATATTCGCCAGGTAGACATCCAGTACTGTAGTGTAATATATTCGCCATGTAGACATCCAGTACTGTCGTGTTATATATTCGCCAGGTAGACATCCAGTACTGTAGTGTAATATATTCGCCATGTAGACATCCAGTACTGTCGTGTTATATATTCGCCAGGTAGACATCCAGTACTGTAGTGTTATATATTCGCAATGTAGACGTCCAGTACTGTCGTGTTATATATTCGCCAGGTGGACATCCAGTACTGTCGTGTTATATATTCGCCAGGTAGACATCCAGTACTGTCGTGTTATATATTCGCCAGGTGGCCATCCACTACTGTAGTGTTATATATTCGCCATGTAGACATCCAGTACTGTAGTGTAATATATTCGCCATGTAGACATCCAGTACTGTCGTGTTATATATTCGCCAGGTAAACATCCAGTACTGTCGTGTTATATATTCGCCAGGTGGACATCCAGTACTGTCGTGTTATATATTCGCCAGGTAGACATCCAGTACTGTCGTGTTATATATTCGCCAGGTAGACATCCAGTACTGTAGTGTTATATATTTGCCAGGTAGACATGAGTGATGACAACCCCTCACATCCCCTGGTCACAGACAAGTTAAGCACCAGTAGATACATGGAGGAAAACTCGGGAAACAGCAGGCGTGAGACCGCGAGACCGGAAGCAGAGAAACGAGAGAAGACTCTGGGTTCTAAGCTTGAGTTGAGGAAGAAACTCATCCAGAGGCGAAGATGGCTCGTGGATCTCAAGTTTGCGACGGCGATATCTGGAATTATATTCATGGTGGTAGAAAATGAACTCTACTTCTCCAACATGTACGAGAAAGGTCATATAGTGTCCCTTTGCCTTAAGTCTCTGACGTCGATCTCTACCTTGCTGCTGTTGGTGGCCATATGCATGTATTACCATACGGGGATGGAGATCCGGATGGTGGAATGTGGCGTGGATGACCCGCTCGTAGTTACCCCCTTATCCACGTGGTTCATGCTGGTAGCTGAGCTGGTCGTCTGTGCGATTCACCCATTCCCTGGAGATATTAATATTGCCATGGAGACAGTAAAGGAAATTAAAGTTGCCTCCAGTATTGATAGAATCCTATCCGTGTTAATGATGTTCCGGCTTTATATTGTCGGTAGTTTCATGGTGGTGCATAGTCGGCTTCTAACAGATCCTTCTACTCAGAGTATTGGAGCCTTGAGTACAGTTAGAATAAACCCATTCTTTGTGTTGAAGTCCGCCATGAACAAGCATCCCGTGTTTGTGATTGCCTTCATAATGCTATCCATGTATACAGTAAGTGTGTGGGCTATGAGAACCTGCGAACTGTACTACACCACGACAACTGATCTCACAAGTTTTATGTGGTTGTCCGCCATGACCTTCCTGACAATTGGATACGGGGATTTGACGCCACATACCCAATGCGGACATTTTGTCGCCATTGTGACCGGTCTCATGGGACTAGGTTCGTGTGCTCTGTTGGTTGCTGTTCTAGCCCGCCGCTTGGAGCAGAGCAGATCAGAACGCTATGTTTATAACTTCTTAACAAGAATACACCTGCAGAATAAACGAAAAACCGCCGCAGCAAACGTCGTGAAGCTAGTTGTCCGGATCTGGATTAACAAATGCAGGTATGGTTCTGGAAGGTCGCTTACTATCCTGAACTGGAAGTTACGGAACGCTGTGAGGACTATGAGACTTGCGCGTGCATCTTTGGCAGAAATTGACGGTACGTCGATTGGTTTGATTGAGCTCAGTCAAATGATGACGCGGGTTAACAGAATGATTGACGTCATGTTGTCGTCACAGAACAAGGTGAGTCAACAACTACGGCTGATTGAGAAACAAATGGCCAAACTGAAGGTCAAGGCAAAAGTACCAAAGAGCTGACGATTAGTCAACGATTCTTGACTGAACTTTATAACGCTGTCACCATAAGCAGCCGCGGTAAAGAGATATGAATATAAATTATGCATATTTCAATATAGATGTTCTTATTTTTTGCATAAAGCATTACCCAGCCATAATATACGAGTGTATATTGACGAGTTCTACAGCCACTCCAGTATGTAGGCAGTAGCTTGTGTCTTGTGAAGGGTTCGACAGATGCATACTTGTGATCGCCTTTTCATCATGTGACCACACCACCTGCCACAGCGACTGTTGTTTTACGCCGCTTTTAACAATATTCTAGCGAGGGACACCAGAAATGGGCTTCAAACATTGTACGTTAAGGGAATCGAACCAGGGATTTCGACATGTTGAGAAAACGTTTGAGGCTACCCCAAACAGCGACAATTAACCTGTGCTTTTGTGTTTCACGTTCCTCCCCATAAGGCTGACATACCATGATTTTAATGAAATATTTTTCAAAGCAGCGTTGAAGACAAACTACTCCTAAAAGCGGATGACAGCGTAACTCTACTGCCTATCCCTTGGTAGGAATTATACATACAGTTGCAATAAACACATGTACTTATATCGGATTCCACAGTATGATGTGATTCGAATATTCCAAAGAGACACGACAAATTAATATTTCTGAAAACGATAACAGGGAATAGGTTAGGCCAGAAGAATGAACACTTAAGAATTTCGACTCCATTATGCATGTTTAGCAAAGTGTGTGATCCGTTCTATTATGAAAGATAATTGGATATATTATTTTAATGAGAAAACAGACACGTTAAATGGTTGTATGAATATACACTGGTGACAGAAAACAATGTTTGTTTGGTTATAATTGGAAGTGGCTGTGGTGCATTATGTAGAATGCGACATATGTTCAATTATCATATTTAAATGAAGCCAGTGTCAACTTGGGCTACAGCTTGACAACGAGCAGAGCATGACATTTGAGGACATTTTTTCTGTTGTGGATGATGGATGTGTACGATGGTATCTATGAGCAAACATATCTCTGGAACACAACGGTATGTGAGACACCAAAGAGGAAATTCACTACACAGGAATGTGTGGAATCGAAAACATTTCAAATGTAAAGGTTGTATATACAATGTGTAGCGGTCTAGACCGGGACATCACTGTCAAATAAAGGTTGTATATACAATGTGTAGCGGTCTAGACCGGGACATCACTGTCACATAAAGGTTGTATATACAATGTGTAGCGGTCAAATAAAGGTGATACAACGTGTAGCGGTCTAGACCGGGACATCACTGTCAAATAAAGGTGATACAACGTGTAGCGGCCTAGAGCGGGACATCACTGTCAAATAAAGGTGATACAATGTGTAGCGGTCTAGACCGGGACATCACTGTCACATAAAGGTGATACAACGTGTAGCGGTCTAGACCGGGACATCACTGTCAAATAAAGGTGATACAACGTGTAGCGGTCTAGACCGGGACATCACTGTCAAATAAAGGTGATACAACGTGTAGCGGTCTAGACCGAGACATCACTGTCAAATAAAGGTGATACAACGTGTAGCGGTCTAGACCGGGACATCACTGTCAAATAAAGGTGATACAACGTGTAGCGGTCTAGACCGGGACATCACTGTCAAATAAAGGTGATACAACGTGTAGCGGCCTAGAGCGGGACATCACTGTCAAATAAAGGTGATACAATGTGTAGCGGTCTAGACCGGGACATCACTGTCAAATAAAGGTGATACAATGTGTAGCGGTCTAGACCGAGACATCACTGTCAAATAAAGGTGATACAACGTGTAGCGGTCTAGACCGGGACATCACTGTCAAATAAAGGTGATACAACGTGTAGCGGCCTAGAGCGGGACATCACTGTCAAATAAAGGTGATACAATGTGTAGCGGTCTAGACCGGGACATCACTGTCAAATAAAGGTGATACAACGTGTAGCGGTCTAGACCGAGACATCACTGTCAAATAAAGGTGATACAACGTGTAGCGGTCTAGACCGGGACATCACTGTCAAATAAAGGTGATACAACGTGTAGCGGCCTAGAGCGGGACATCACTGTCAAATAAAGGTGATACAACGTGTAGCGGTCTAGACCGGGACATCACTGTCAAATAAAGGTGATACAATGTGTAGCGGTCTAGAGCGGGACATCACTGTCAAATAAAGGTGATACAATGTGTAGCGGTCTAGACCGGGACATCACTGTCAAATAAAGGTGATACAACGTGTAGCGGTCTAGACCGAGACATCACTGTCAAATAAAGGTGATACAACGTGTAGCGGTCTAGACCGGGACATCACTGTCAAATAAAGGTGATACAACGTGTAGCGGCCTAGAGCGGGACATCACTGTCAAATAAAGGTGATACAATGTGTAGCGGTCTAGAGCGAGACATCACTGTCAAATAAAGGTGATACAATGTGTAGCGGTCTAGACCGAGATTTCACGTCAAGATAAAGAGCTGATTTAATGAGACAGGACAGCGATCGAGACCGAGATATTAATTCTAAGTAATTGCTTTGCGACTATTGTCGAAACACTGGACTATGATATGTATACGAGAAAGGTAAAAACCATCTTTGTCTTTGCAGCTTTAATTAACTTACACACAAATACAATGAATAGTCAATGGATGCGTAATCGACTTGACACTGGAATAATATCATTATACCGGACAATAAAACAATAGAAATACAATTTAGAAGAAAGGCCCGACTTAAGATACTAAAGTGGTAACAGTTGTCCCCCCTCGGGACAAACCGTTATCAAATTGTTCTGCTGGTGAGCGCGTCTTGCTACAACTCAATACCAATTACCAGGAACATGGCATGACAGCTGTCACCCACCCTCTCCTGTGCATACTAGCAACCCCTCAAATACCCCACCCTCTGCCCCGCCCACTTCCCAGGGCTTACAACCTCACTCAAGTGATCGGTCTGAGACACATTTTACGAAATTTAAAAGGTTCCGCTCATTGGACACTTTGGGGGCAAATCGTAGGTCAAAAAACAAAATATTTGCAAAGATACATTCAAGAACACTTGCTACTGGGTTATTGATAACATATACATATGATACTATGGTAAGAGTAAGGCAGAGCTACAGATATTCTAATTACAACAAGCCTTAAATAACCACAGTTCTCTCTGGAAAAGAGATTATTAATCCGGGTGATGCTTGCATTTTGTGTTCGGGGTGAACGAGTGAGTGTGTTTTTATGATGCATTTTTCGAAATCACAGTGGCTGATACCAAACAACACATTGTCCATTTCGGAAATCGAACTCGGGTCTTCCATGGAGCAGGCAAACGTTATAACCACAAGGGATGTCCCACACTACGAATGTCCTTGACGCTGACAGCATCAGACAACACTCGACATGATCTGGCGAGAGCTGTAGGATGTTCGATGTAGGCTGTTTCTCTTTCCCCGACTCTTGGCCATGTCACGTCCGTCTGTCATCTGTGACATGGGTGCTACCGGGAAAAATGACTTCTTCGACTCAGGTCTGCGAGTCTTGGCTTCTTTGGGTCGTCCACGTCTCTTCTCTTCGTCTTTGTTCTCGATTTGTCCTTCATGAAGAATCTTCCTGAAATTGTGCTTCATAATTCCAAGATGGCGGATGAGAGTCGTTACATCTAGCAGGACGATGCCAAGCAATACGACAACCAAGATAGCGCCCGCTGTGGTTCCCATGGCAACAGCTGATGGACGACCATCCTTTTTGGAAGCAGTTGAGAACATCGGGCTCGCTCTCTTGTCCTTGGTAGCGATACTGTCAGTACGAGCATCAACATGGCCGCCACCTGACGTCAAAGACAGATGATATTAGAAGGGTTTCGAGGGACTTGTACTAGCAGAGGGGTTGCACAACCATCAGTAGGATTGGTAGTAGTAGCCACATACACTTATCAAGATGGTCGTGGTAGTGGTGTAACACTTGAGATAACACTTTCTTTGATAGTAAAGTAAAATTCTGGAACTTATGGGGGTTTAGTCCCATCCGGGACTGTCAGCGGTCTGACCCACTCAGCTGGTGGTGGTGGTAATGAAACTCGTAGTAGTGTGGTTTGCCGTCAGACAACTGAGGTCTAAACGACACTTTGGCTGAGTAAAATACCGTCATATAACTGAGGTCTAACGTCACTTGGGTTGCGTACAATACCGTCAGACAACTGAGGTCTAACGTCACATGGGTTGAGTACAATACCGTCAGACAACTGAGGTCTAAACGTCACATGGGTTGAGTACAGTATCTTCAGACAACTGAGGTCTAACGTCACATGGGTTGAGTACAATACCGTCAGACAGCTGAGGTCTAACGTCACTTGGGTTGAGTACAATACCGTCAGGCAGCTGAGGTCTAAACGTCACTTGGGTTGCGTACAATACCGTCAGGCAGCTGAGGTCTAAACGTCACATTGGTTGAGTACAGTATCTTCAGACAGCTGAGGTCTAACGTCAAATGGGTTGAGTACAATACCGTCAGACAACTGAGGTCTAACGTCACATGGGTTGAGTACAATACCGTCAGACAACTGAGGTCTAAACGTCACATGGGTTGAGTACAGTATCTTCAGACAACTGAGGTCTAACGTCACATGGGTTGAGTACAATACCGTCAGACAACTGAGGTCTAAACGTCACATGGGTTGAGTACAGTATCTTCAGACAACTGAGGTCTAACGTCACATGGGTTGAGTACAATACCGTCAGACAGCTGAGGTCTAACGTCACATGGGTTGCGTACAATACCGTCAGGCAGCTGAGGTCTAAACGTCACTTGGGTTGCGTACAATACCGTCAGGCAGCTGAGGTCTAAACGTCACATTGGTTGAGTACAGTATCTTCAGACAACTGAGGTCTAACGTCACATGGGTTGAGTACAATACCGTCAGACAACTGAGGTCTAACGTCACATGGGTTGAGTACAATACCGTCAGACAGCTGAGGTCTAAACGTCACTTGGGTTGAGTACAATACCGTCAGACAAATGAGGTTTAAATGTCACTTGGGTTGAGTACAATACCGTCAGACAACTGAGGTCTAAACGTCACTTGGGTAGAGTACAATACCGTCAGACAGCTGAGGTCTAAACGTCACTTGGGTAGAGTACAATACCGTCAGACAACTGAGGTCTAAACGTCACTTGGGTTGAGTACAATACCGTCAGACAACTGATGTCTAAACGTCACTTGGGTTGACTACAATACCGTCAGACAACTAAGGTCTAACAGTCAATTAATCTGACTATAATACCATCAGACAACACAGATCTAACAATCAATTGATTTGACAACAATAAACATCAGTCTAAACTAAGCACCAGGCGACATAGTGTGCTCTCACAGCAGGTTCAGTAGTGGACATTTGTCTATGGGTGACATTACTATAATGTCACGAGCATATATCGACGCCAGATCATAGACACCGATCATTCGATGGTAACAGATGTGGGTCTCTTGACTTGCCAGCCCCAGAAACAAGCTAATTCACCGAGGGGATCTATACCCCGACTACACTGACTTGGCATGAAAGGTTGTGTGTCTCGTGAACACGACCTAATATCACAATCTAATAATTTATTTCTCTGCAATGTGATCCATGAAGGCTGAAATAGAAGCAAATATGGTATGAATAAAGAAATGATTAGTTTGCCATATGTCAAACACTGCATAATGAAATGAAAATATAGTTTACAAACAGAAAGAAAAACAGTACATAAATCAATAAATATTAATAAGGTTCACTGTGGAATAAGGCGCAAATTCATTAATAAACAATTCGATGATTTCATATATCGTTGTATATGTTGCACAGAGTAAGCGATTCTAACAATAATACGCGGACTCTAAACATCCTAAAAGTATATGCTCAACGGTCAGTGTCCTTTTGGGAACGGTAGGGCTTTTAGTGGATACATGTATTTGTCTTATGATTATGAAAATGTCTTCTGTTGCTTGTAATTTTCGATACATGACACAACCTTAGATTAAACATAAACATGTTTCATATTAGTCTAACAGATAGTGGCGAGTTTGATTGTCTTGAATCTGTCAATGGCGATGTGTGGTTTCATGGTACCCATTTTGTCCATTCAGAATCTGCAACAGAAAACACGTTAACCAACAGCAGGGAGTGAGTGAATGAGGGTGTTTATGGCACCTTTTATAATATTTCAACAGTATCACCAAACCCACCATGGGCTGCACACATTACAACCCATGGAGGAACTGAACCCGGACCTTCGACGTGACGAGCGAACACGTTAACAACAGGGCTACCCTGCCGCCCCAAAACTCTAAAGGTAGCCATCGAACGTTCAATTCAATCTCTGTTTAACCCCAAACCGAGGCTTCCACTGCCGTGCTCTTTTAAGTCTCATTGGGTATATTTATACTTAAGTCTTAAGTGACATCGTGTGTAGAAACGAGGCTTCCACTGTCGTGCTCTTTTAAGTCTCATTGGGTATATTTATACTTAAGTCTTAAGTGGAATCGTGTGTAGAAACGGAATTCCATTAGACGAATTTAAGTCACGTGTTACTCTATATCCCCAGCCTTTGTGTATGACTCAATGGCTTACCTTAAGCAAGCGTTATATATTAACCCGAGGATACAGAACATAAACACACCTGTACCTTGAAAATTGTTACTGCAATGAAGGTATTTTCAGATGATCAAGTTTGGTGAGGTGACGTTAAATGTGACATTTTACCCATTACGTGATTATTATTCTGTGTGGCGATAACAAACAAATATTTCAGTAACAAACGTCCATTATGAATTGTATGTATTAATATAAGTTCTCTGGATCAGCGTCTTCATCCGTATGTCCGTGACGAACTTGCTCCCCACATGTATCCGTACAACGCCCATACTGACAATCCTCTCCTCCATTAGAACATAAATATACGGGAAATAGAATTATGTTCCATGAGTCGACTACCTGCCATCGGTGTGGTATTGTTTTATATACCTGATGTAGCTCTGCGTTGTAGTATTGTTCATCTGCCTGCTGTTGACCTCCGTTGTGGTATTGTATAATTGTAAGGTATCGGCATGCGTTGTAGTGTTGTTTACCTGCCTGGTGTAGCCCTGCGTTGTAGTATTGTTTACCTGCCTGGTGTTGGCCTCCGTTGTAGTATAATTTACCTGCCTGGTGTTGGCCTCCGTTGTAGTATTGTTTACCTGCCTGGTGTTGGCCTCCGTTGTAGTATTCTTTACCTGCCTGGTGTAGGCTTGCTGCGTTGTAGTATTGTTTAATTGTCTGGTGTAGCCCTGCGTTGTAGTATTGTTTACGTGCCTGGTGTTGGCCTACGTTGTAGTATTGTTTACCTGCCTGGTGTAGGCTTGCTGCGTTGTAGTATTGTTTAATTGTCTGGTGTAGCCCTGCGTTGTAGTATTGTTTACCTGTCTGGTGTAGCCCTGCGTTGTAGTATTGTTTACGTGCCTGGTGTTGGCCTACGTTGTAGTATTGTTTACCTGCCTGGTGTAGGCTTGCTGCGTTGTAGTATTGTTTAATTGTCTGGTGTAGCCCTGCGTTGTAGTATTGTTTACCTGCCTGGTGTTGGCCTACGTTGTAGTATTGTTTACCTGCCTGGTGTAGGCTTGCTGCGTTGTAGTATTGTTTAATTGTCTGGTGTAGCCCTGCGTTGTAGTATTGTTTACCTGCCTGGTGTAGCCCTGCGTTGTAGTATTGTTTACCTGCCTGGTGTAGGCCTGCGTTGTAGTATTGTTTACCTGCCTGGTGTAGGCTTGCTGTGTTGTAGTATTGTTTAATTGCCTGATGTAGCCCTGCGTTGTAGTATTGTTTACCTGCCTGGTGTAGCCCTGCGTTGTAGTATTGTTTACCTGCCTGATGTAGCCCTGCGTTGTAGTATTGTTTACCTGCCTGGTGCTGGCCTCCGTTGTGGTATTGTTTACCTGCCTGGTGTTGGCCTCCGTTGTAGTATTGTTTACCTGCCTGATGTAGGCCTGCGTTGTAGTATTGTTTACCTGCCTGATGTAGGCCTGCGTTGTAGTATTGTTTACCTGCCTGGTGTAGGCTTGCTGTGTTGTAGTATTGTTTAATTGCCTGATGTAGGCCTGCGTTGTAGTATTGTTTACCCGCCTGGTGTAGCCCTGCGTTGTAGTATTGTTTACCTGCCTGATGTAGCCCTGCGTTGTAGTATTGTTTACCTGCCTGGTGTTGGCCTCCGTTGTGGTATTGTTTACCTGCCTGGTGTTGGCCTCCGTTGTAGTATTGTTTACCTGCCTGATGTAGGCCTGCGTTGTAGTATTGTTTACCTGCCTGGTGTTGGCCTCCGTTGTAGTATTGTTTACCTGCCTGGTGTAGGCTTGCTGTGTTGTAGTATTGTTTAATTGTCTTGTGTAGCCCTGCGTTGTAGTATTGTTTACCTGCCTGGTGTAGCCCTGCGTTGTAGTATTGTTTACCTGCCTGATGTAGCCCTGCGTTGTAGTATTGTTTACCTGCCTGGTGTTGGCCTCCGTTGTGGTATTGTTTACCTGCCTGGTGTAGGCCTGAATTGCCTTATTGTTAACCTGCTTTGTGTGGGGTTGCGTGGCTGGTAACATCTGGGCCCGAGAGGAAATGTTGAGACAGGTTTGACCTTGAAACGGCTTACACTTAGTGGAGATCACACATTTAACACATGTATGCCCAGTACTACCTAAATATTCAGCTGTTGTTTACGAGGAGTGCATCTCATATGCGTCTCAGAATTGTCCTGTCAGTGACTGTAAACAAATGGTTGGTACTGAAAGCTGGCATTTAGTTTATTCCTATCGCACCAGTAGCGTTGATGATAGTGGGGCAATCAATTGTAGCAAGGTTGACGTTGATCTAATAAAGTTAACTATCATCGAGCGATCTCCATACAATGCTGGGACTCACATCGCACATACCATTAGGGCTCGGACAGCGTCATCATTTGGAAATATTTTCTCCAGCTCGATGTCAATCTGTTCCGGACGCCCTTATCACAGCGATGGCCAGAGGAGGAGGGATTTTGGTTTAACACTTAAGCCACATCGTGACATAGGTCTCCGAGAAAGGTTTTTAGATATTTTAAGAATATGGGAAATCGAACCCGGGTAAGCGGCGTGACGAGCAAACGCTTCATTCTCTATGCTAATCCCTCATTACCCAGACTGACCATGACGCACCGGGTTTGACAACAACAAAATTGTTTCTTTTCTCCTTTCAAAGAAAGTAGTCACATCCAGAATTTGAACCCGAACGAGAAGAAGCCCTGTTCTATATTATCTTCCGCTGCGTTTCGTCCTCAAATCACGAGTTTCAGTCAGAGGTGGTTATTGTGATTTGAAACCTCTGACCGCTCAACAAGAAATGAGTACTTTCCAAAGTCATGGCAGAATACATAATAAAGTTGAAATGCATTGCTAAAGATCGTGTTTCAGATCATCAATGACTAACCTCATCAACTGACCAACTGACCATCACACGTTTATTGAGCATCAACGTTTCTCATCTGTCGCCTCAATCAATAATGAAGGAATACAAAAACTAAAAGGATATATTTTCTTCGCTGGGCGGAATCAGGCAGCACTGCAAATTTTGCGCGTGGCGGGTGCTACCAGTGTAGCAGGATCAGGTCACATCCCCGGATCAAATCACTCCCCTTAGTATCATATCACTCCCCCCTTGCATGATGAAAACACACCCAGAACAAGAACATTCCCCTTATACTTTCTCCATACTGTATTGGCGATAAGCACCACACTACCACAACTAGCAAAACAAACCTTTACATTGGCTATATTTATATAATTAAAATAAAAAAAGCATTGAACGATATCTATTTATTAATAATTATGGAATAGTTAATTAACATGCATGAGGACGATACCGGCATTCAATGTGAATGAATGAGTGGGTTAAAAAATTACATCACGTCGATAATATTGCAGTCATATAACCATATACTTTAAATATGAAACTATATATGTATATGCCATTTGTATATAATGAATATGGATTTTCCGTAAATTAAATTATTGATTAATACATGCCTTGAAAAATGTGTAAGTCATATTGTGTATTTAGCGATGTATCTTGAGGTGGGGGTGGAATGATTTGATCCCGAGAGGGATTGACTATATCCTGAAAGGGAGTGTTTTGATCCTGAGAGGGATTGACTATATCCTGAAAGGGAGTGTTTTGATCCTGAGAGGGATTGACTGTATCATGAAAGGGAGTGTTTTGATCCTAAGAGGGATTGACTGTATCCTGAAAGGGAGTGTTTTGATCCTAAGAGGGATTGACTGTATCCTGAAAGGGAGTGTTTTGATCCTAAGAGGGATTGACTGTATCATGAAAGGGGGTGTTTTGATCCTGAGGGGGGTTGACTATATCCTGAAAGGGAGTGTTTTGATCCTGAGGGGGATTGACTATATCATGAAAGGGAGTGTTTTGATCCTGAGAGGGATTGACTATATCCTGAAAGGGAGTGTCTTGATCCTGAGAGGGATTGACTATATCCTGAAAGGGAGTATTTTGATCCTAAGAGGGATTGACTGTATCCTGAAAGAGAGTGTTTTGATCCTGAGAGGGATTGACTGTATCCTGAAAGGGAGTGTTTTGATCCTGAGGGGGGTTGACTATATCCTGAAAGGGAGTGTTTTGATCCTGAGGGGGATTGACTGTATCCTGAAAGGGAGTGTTTTGATCCTGAGGGGGATTGACTATATCATGAAAGGGGGTGTTTTGATCCTGAGGGGGGTTGACTATATCCTGAAAGGGAGTGTTTTGATCCTGAGAGGGATTGACTATATCCTGAAAGGGAGTGTTTTGATCCTGAGAGGGATTGACTACATCCTGAAAGGGAGTGTTTTGATCCTAAGAGGGATTGACTGTATCCTGAAAGGGAGTGTTTTGATCCTAAGAGGGATTGACTATATCCTGAGAGGGGATGTTTTGATCCTGAGAGGGATTGACTATATCCTGAAAGGGAGTGTTTTGATCCTGAGAGGGATTGACTATATCCTGAAAGGGAGTATTTTGATCCTGAGAGGGATTGACTATATCCTGAGAGGGGGTGTTTTGATCCTGAGAGGGATTGACTATATCCTGAAAGGGAGTGTTTTGATCCTGAGAGGGATTGACTATATCCTGAAAGGGAGTGTTTTGATCCTGAGAGGGATTGACTATATCCTGAGAGGGGGTGTTTTGATCCTGAGAGGGATTGACTATATCCTGAAAGGGAGTGTTTTGATCCTGAGAGGGATTGACTATATCCTGAAAGGGAGTGTTTTGATCCTGAGAGGGATTGACTATATCCTGAAAGGGAGTGTTTTGATCCTGAGAGGGATTGACTATATTCTGAAAGGGAGTGTTTTGATCCTGAGGGGGATTGACTATATCCTGAAAGGGGGAGTTTTGATACGGAGAGAGATTGACTATATCCTGAAAGGGAGTGTTTTGATCCTGAGAGGGATTGACTATATCCTGAAAGGGAGTGTTTTGATCCTGAGGGGGATTGACTATATCCTGAAAGGGAGTGTTTTGATCCTGAGGGGGATTGACTATATCCTGAAAGGGAGTGTTTTGATCCCGAGAGGGATTGACTATATCCTGAAAGGGAGTATTTTGATCCTGAGGGAGGATTGACTATATCCTGAAAGGGAGTATTTTGCTCCTGAGGGAGGATTGACTGTATCCTGGGATGGGATGTCTTGATCCTGAGAGGGATTGACTATATCCTGAAAGGGAGTATTTTGATCCTAAGAGGGATTGACTGTATCCTGAAAGGGAGTGTTTTGATCCTGAGGGGGATTTACTATATCCTGAAAGGGAGTGTTTTGATCATGAGAGGGATTGACTATATTCTGAAAGGGAGTGTTTTGATCCTGAGAGGATAGTAGTGAGTGAGTGAATGAGTACGTTTTACGCCGCTTTTAGCAACATTCCAGCAATATCACGGCGGGGGACACCAGAAATGGGCTTCACACATTGTACCCATGTCGGGAATCGAACCCGGGTCTTCGGCGTGACAAGCGAACGCTTTAACCTCTAGGCTACCCGACCGCCCCTGAGAGGGTAGTAAAGTGAGATTATGATGAGGGAAATATACCCTACCTGGTAGAGTCCTTGGCTGGATATATTTACCGCCGTTTATGTCTCTCCATGTCTGTGTCTCTCTCACTGCATTGTCTCTGATGTCTGTGTCTCTCACTGCATGTGTTTCCATGTCAGTCTCTCACTGCATGTGTCCTTCACTGCGTGTCTCTCCATGTCTGTCTCTCATTGCGTGTCCCTTCATGTCTGTCTCTCACTGCGTGTCTCTCCATGTGTCTCTCACTGCGTGGCTTTCCACGTGTCTCTCACTGTGTGTCTTCATGTCCGTCTCTCACTGCGTGTGTCTCTCACTGCATGTCTCTCCATGTCTATTTCTTACTGCGTGACTCGCCATGTCTGTCTCTCACTGCGTGTTTCTCTATGTCTGTCTCTCCATGTCTGTCTCTCATTGCGTGTCCCTTCATATCTGTCTCTCACTGCGTGTCTCTCCATGTCTGTCTCTCACTGCGTGTCTCTCCATGTGTCTCTCACTGCGTGGCTCTCCACGTCTGTCTCTCACTCTGTGTGTCTCCATGTCCGTCTCTCACTGCGTGGCTCTCCACGTCTGTCTCTCATTGCGTGTCTCCATGTCTGTCTCTCACTCTGTGTGTCTCCATGTCCGTCTCTCACTGCGTGTTCCATGTCTGTCTCTCACTCTGTGTGTCTCCATGTCCGTCTCTCACTGCGTGTGTCTCTCACTGCGTGTCTCTCCATGTCTATTTCTTACTGCGTGACTCGCCATGTCTGTCTCTCACTGCGTGTTTCTCTATGTCTGTCTCTCCTTGTCTGTCTCTCATTGCGTGTCTCTCCATGTTTGTCTCTCACTGCGTCTCTCCATGTCTGTCTCTCACTGCGTGTATTTCCATGTCTGTCTCTCACTGCGTGTTTCCACGTCTGTCTCTCACTGCGTGTCTCTCCATGTCTATCTCTCACTGCGTGTCTCTCAATGTCTGTCTCTCACTGCGTGTATTTCCATGTCTGTCTCTCACTGCGTGTGTCTCTCACTGGGTGTCTCTCGATATCTATCTCTCACTGCGTGTATTTCCATGTCTGTCTCTCACTGCGTGTGTCTCTCACTGGGTGTCTCTCGATGTCTATCTCTCACTGCGTGTCTCTCAATGTCTGTCTCTCACTGCGTGTATTTCCATGTCTGTCTCTCACTGCGTGTGTCTCTCACTGGGTGTCTCTCGATGTCTATCTCTCATTGCGTATCTCTCCATGTTTGTCTCTCACTGCGTGTCTCTCCATGTCTGTCTCTCACTGCGTGTATTTTCATGTCTGTCTCTCCCTGCGTGTTTCCACGTCTGTCTCTCACTGCGTGTCTCTCAATGTCTGTCTCTCACTGCGTCTCTCCATGTCTATCTCTCACTGCGTGTCTCTCCATGTCTGTCTCTCCCTGCGTGTATTTCCATGTCTGTCTCTCACTGCGTCTCTCCATGTCTGTCTCTCACTGCGTCTCTCCATGTCTATCTCTCACTGCGTGTCTCTCAATGTCTGTCTCTCACTGCGTGTCTCTCCATGTCTGTCTCTCACTGCGTGTATTTCCATGTCTGTCTCTCACTGCGTCTCTCCATGTCTGTCTCTCATTGCGTGTCTCCACGTCTGTCTCTCACTGCGTGTCTCCATGTCTATCTCTCACTGCGTGTCTCTCAATGTCTGTCTCTCACTGCGTGTATTTCCATGTCTGTCTCTCACTGCGTGTTTCCACGTCTATCTCTCCCTGTGTGTCTCTCCATGTCTATCTCTCACTGCGTGTCTCTCCATGTCTGTCTCTCACTGCGTGTATTTCCATGTCTGTCTCTCATTGCGTCTCTCCATGTTTGTCTCTCACTGCGTGTCTCTCCATGTCTGTCTCTCACTGCGTGTATTTCCACGTCTGTCTCTCACTGCGTCTCTCCATGTTTGTCTCTCACTGCGTGTCTCTCCATGTCTATCTCTCACTGCGTGTCTCTCAATGTCTGTCTCTCACTGCGTGTATTTCCATGTCTGTCTCTCACTGCGTGTGTCTCTCACTGCGTGTCTCTCCATGTCTATCTCTCACTGCGTGTCTCTCAATGTCTGCCTCTCACTGCGTGTATTTCCATGTCTGTCTCTCACTGCGTGTGTCTCTCACTGCGTCTCTCCATGTCTATCTGTCCCTGCGTGACTCACCATGTCTGTCTCTCACTGCGTGCGTCTATCACTGCGTGACTCTCCATATATGTGTCTCTCTCCACGTCTGTCTCTCACTGCGTCTATCCATGTCTATCTCTCACTGCGTGTCTCTCAATGTCTGTCTCTCACTGCGTGTATTTCCATGTCTGTCTCTCACTGCGTGTTTCCACGTCTGTCTCTCCCTGTGTGTCTCTCCATGTCTATCTCTCACTGCGTGTCTCTCCATGTCTGTCTCTCATTGCGTCTCTCCATGTCTATCTGTCCCTGCGTGACTCACCATGTCTGTCTCTCACTGCGTGCGTCTATCACTGCGTGACTCTCCATATCTGTGTCTCTCTCCACGTCTGTCTCTCACTGCGTCTATCCATGTCTATCTCTCACTGCGTGTCTCTCAATGTCTGTCTCTCACTGCGTGTATTTCCATGTCTGTCTCTCACTGCGTGTTTCCACGTCTGTCTCTCCCTGTGTGTCTCTCCATGTCTATCTCTCACTGCGTGTCTCTCCATGTCTGTCTCTCATTGCGTCTCTCCATGTTTGTCTCTCACTGCGTGTCTCTCACTGTCTGTCTCTCACTGCGTGTATTTCCACGTCTGTCTCTCACTGCGTCTCTCCATGTCTGTCTCTCACTGCGTGTCTCTCCATGTCTATCTCTCACTACGTGTCTCTCAATGTCTGTCTCTCACTGCGTGTATTTCCATGTCTGTCTCTCACTGCGTGTGTCTCTCACTGCGTGTCTCTCCATGTCTATCTCTCACTGCGTGTCTCTCCATGTCTATCTCTCACTGCGTGTCTCTCAATGTCTGTCTCTCACTGCGTGTATTTCCATGTCTGTCTCTCACTGCGTGTGTCTCTCACTGCGTCTCTCCATGTCTATCTCTCACTGCGTGTCTCTAAATGTCTGTCTCTCACTGCGTGTATTTCCATGTCTGTCTCTCACTGCGTGTGTCTCTCACTGCGTCTCTCCATGTCTATCTGTCCCTGCGTGACTCACCATGTCTGTCTCTCACTGCGTGCGTCTATCACTGCGTGACTCTCCATATCTGTGTCTCTGACTGCATATGTCTCTCCCTGTCTCTCTGATTTTGTTATTCGCACCTGTCATTCACTCCTGTCTCCCTCGCTGCTAGTGTGACTGTCGGTATTGTAGTTAGAGGACAAAGAACTCGTAACACCCCGTATTACGATAAACTAGCATATTTAAATTCAGGCAAAATATGAAAGATAATTCTTTCGGATGGCTTGTTGGGAAGTATGTCCAAACTGTATCACCCTTTCTATAAGCATATGCATCAATGCTGAACTTGTTACATTGTCCCACAATGCAAGGTGAAGCATATTTGGCCATTATACCATTCCCAATGTACCAGAAACAACCCTGTAACGAGTTGCCTTGTACAACCCGAGGCAATCGCAAATAATACACATTAGCGGCTAAATGGTCAAGTATCGACTGGTATTGTCTCCTCTAATAAGGGCAAATGAGCCGAGATTGAAATAATAGCAGACCTCGACGTGGACCCAGATCAACGTAAATAGCAACTTTAGTGTTTGGTGAGTTTGTTGCTTCAACAAAATGGTCAAGAATAAACAGCCATGGGAAAACAATAAACATATGTCCCAGTGTATCTATATGACATACCGGGGCTTGTATTAACCACAGTGGGGTTATACTTGTACTACAACTCTTTTACGAACGTATGTATCCGTCGACGGCCATTCGGTACCCGGTACACAATGTCATACAGTATAGGATTTTAGCAAATATATTGAAATGTAGGCACCAGTCAAAAGTCATACGATGACATAAGCCTTGTTTCAGTTAAAGAAGACTGATACTAATAACCTAACTGGACTTTCAAACATGAGATTCTCGTATTTTGGCACGGTAGTTTCACGCGAGAGAGGGCACTTCTAGTATAAACACATTATTTCTGATAATAATAAAAATGCATACCACGAACCAAAGTAGTTATACTGTTATATTCTTAAAGACAACCCATTCAGTGGGAAATAGTAAAAAAATATAAAAGACGTACTTTACCTCAGATTGTTCGGTTATTGTCCAGCGCACAAAAGGTATCTGCACACAGGTAACCGTCTTGGCAGGGGCAGTTCTAATTCATTCTGTGCGTTACGCATTTACAATCAGGGGGCTTCCAAGGCGAAGACTGGTTCCTAGACTAACATCTAGTCACTGAAATGGACAGTTGTTCAGTTATCTTAATAAAAATATAATAAAAGGGAGCCCAGTGACTCTCTTCATTTTCAGATACTGCAGTAATCTAGACTTGCCAAACATTATAGACTTGCATGGGATGTAATTGATATATATTTGTATCAGGGTCTGTAAGACAGACTAACTGGTTCCCTGACCTATTTCAAATCGCATTCGTTGGATTAGCTAGCAAGCGCATGAGGGCAGACAAACCGGTCTTTGATTGGGGGAGGAATAAATGTTAGACGAAACCAAATGTATTGAGGTCCACTCATTAATACAGTAATATACTGGTGGTTACTATGCCACAGCCGATATTCCATCAATGATCAGTTTGTTCAGCATATTTCTAACGTATGTTTAAAATGATTAGAAAGGTTTCAGCACTGGCATTTGGAGAAAACGTGAACATTCCGCTTCGTTAGTCTTACTGCTTATTAATAAGAAACCAAAATGGCGCCACCATTCTAATAGTAGCACCACCAGTCGATATGGACTGCCAGCGATGTACGTGACAGGATGCTTAAATTTGAACAACTCCCTGACAGGGTGATGATGTACGTCGCTACGGACTTGAAACGAACCAAATATTTGACCATTGCGTGTGTACACAACAAGAAAAATGCCTTAATTTGTTTAAATTTACATTTAAGAAAACAAATCTCCATAATAGTTCTCCAAATTATTTCGCATTTTGAAAAGAATGACAACAGAAAAATGAGAACATAAATGCTTATCCTGACCGTTACAAAGCAATGGCCATCTTGCATGTAGAAGGTGACACGAGGAGTGAGGTGAACTTGGGTTGAAGGTCGCGTTCAAAACTATACTGCACACGTATATAACGACGCGTGCGTGCGTGTGTGCGTGCGTGCGTGCGTGTGTGTGTGTGTGCTTGTACAAGGTCCGGACTAACTCCTGTTTCATAATGCTAGCCACTGAGATACCATGGCGCAGTTTGACATGAATACCCCCAGTCTTTGCTTTATCCCCTTAATACCTTGTGCCAGACAGGGTAACAACAAGTACCATCTGTTAATGTCTTTTTGTAGGACATAGTATGGGGCTTGAACTAAAAACCTTCCGCAATCCATGCAAAGGCTCTATCCACAGGACAACGAAGGCAGTCAGATCAGGTTCACCTGATCCATGACAGATCCATACAGTAATATGAAATAATTAGTGTTCTATAAATTCTTCTGTACATTTGTTGTCTTCTCACATTGCAGGGGCCGGACTTAGTGTCAGTGTCAGTTGTATGTGCTCGTCCTGGAAAGTGTAGCTTGTAGGCGAGCGTTATAGATGACGCCTTCAACACAAATGATCTTTCTTGCTTGCAAATACACTCATGTTGATGAATACAAATTTGGAATACATTATCGTCACACGTGGTAACACACATACCACAGGGGCACGAGGGGCACGGGGGGCACACGGGAGGCACACGGGGGACACGGGAGGGATACGGGGGGGGGGGGGGGGGGCGGGGGACACGGGAGACACATGGGGGACACAGAAGGCACACGGGGGGCACGGGGCACACGGGAGGCACACGGGGCACGGGGACACGGGGCACGGGGCACGGGGGACAGGACAGGAGGCACACGGGGCAGGGAAGGCACACGGAGGACACGGGAGGCATACGGGGGACACGGGAGGGACACGTGGGGCACACGGGGGACACGGGAGGCACACGGGGTCATGGGGGGCACACGGGGGACACGGGAGACACATGGGGGACACAGGAGGCACATGGGAGGCACACGGGAGGCACACGGGTGGCACGGGAGGCACATGGGAGGCACACGGGAGGCACACGGGGGACACGGGAGGCACTGGGAGGCACACGGGAGGCTTACGGGGGACACGGGAGGGACATTGGAGGCACACGGGAGGCACACGGGGGACACGGGAGGCACACGCGGGACACGGGAGGCACACGGGGTCACGGGGGCACATGGGGGGCACAAGGGAGGCACGGAAGACACACGGGGGACATGGGAGGCACACGGGGGGCACGGGGGACACGGGAGGCACACGGGGGTACGGGGGGCACACGGGGGACACGGGGGGCACGGGGGGCACGGGAGGCACATGGGAGGCACACGGGGGACACGGGAGGCACAAGGGAGGCACACAGGGGACACGGGAGGCAGACGGGGGCATACGGGGGGCACACGGGAGGCACACGGGGGGCACGGGAGGCACACGGGAGGCAGTGGTCAAGGGTGCCGCTAGTCGCTTTGGAGAGTTCCGTCAGTTTACCGCGCAATATCGAGATGTGTCTCTTCAACTGAATCCTATAACCAGGGCAACCGGTAACCATGACATCAAGGAGGGGGCGTTACCAAATCCCTGAAAACCAAAACATCACGTCGATAATCTCCTTGAAGATGGTGTCAGATACTATTTGCTTGATTCTTCGTATATTTCCATGACAAGACTACAAAAAGCACTTGCTTATGGGTTTCGTTTGCTCCACTCCATCTCACGGGAATTAGACGCTCATAAATGGCCAGCAGCTAACGAGGATGTGCCGTGGCAAGTTCCAGATATCTGACTCGCACCACTTAGCCCCTGTGTTGAGAAGCAGAAGACACATCCTGGCATTGTTTATAGCAAGGGTGTCGTTATTCTCCCAGTCAATCCCTGTTTACGACGAAGGCTGAGCACTGGACACAGATTGGAGCATTAAAGGTCAACAACAGCTTTGAGACCATCACTATCAGACTATCTCATAAGCTACATGGATAGTGATCTGATGGCGTCCTCGGACCAGAAACACAGACACTGTCACAACACATCCGGATGCGGATCGTTATTGTTAAGTATTTTTTAATATCTTTAACAATGATACGTGGAAAAGGTGAGATGACGTGAAAAGTCGTGTTCAAAATTATTGTACTTATATTTAGATAGCGATGTGGATGGTGTTTGTTTGTGTGCGCTCGCGCGCGCGTGTGTGTATACATAGATATCATGCCGTAGTAAAATACGGATACACCACTCGGACACAATATATTCCGAGCCAACAAATCCTTCTCTTACCCCTTAATGCCGAGCGCCATTCAAGCTAACAAAAAGTACTATCTTGTAACGTCGTTTGGTTTGACATGGCCGGCGATCGAACCGCAGACCTACCATTCCCCTGGCAAACGCGTTGTCCACTAGATTAATGTGAAATAGGATTGAAATGTACTGAGTTGGAACATTTGAAAATTTGGTAAGATCAGGTCTAGAATTAAACTCAAACACTGTGAATGAGTGAGTGAGTGAGTTGTGGTAAACGCAGCTTTGAGCAGTAGTTCAGTAACTGTTATATATCAGCGTCATGTGGGAGGAAAGTCAGAAAGTCAAAAAACACTTTGTGGAAACCCACTAGCACGGGTAAGACTGACATCCAAGACATCTTCATCGAAGCAAATCTGAATTCGAACTTAATTGGCTACATAGTTAAACAAGCTTATTAATTTGAAATAAGTGATGAATGAATTCTCGTGCCGATGTATAATCCCTACGTCAATAGCAATCATGTTATAAGACACAGTGACCTGGAATAAGAAGTCTACACGTGATGTGTCCATGGTAATGTCGACATGTCCGGTTCGTCCATGCTCATTTACAGCGAAACTATGAATTAATTACATTACAAAAGGACAAGGTTTGGTAAGGGCCCCTTTTGCCCACAAGATCTACATAATATATGACATCACCAAGCATTATGAAAGTTATCCAATAGGTTCATATGAATCAAAACTAGACTTCCTTAATGCCAACGATTGCGTGAACTAAACTCATAACAGCACTAAATGTATAGGAAACCCTGAAATATGTTGTCAAGGATGGTTTTAGAGCGCTTTCGTAATATTTGAACGTGACCCAAGCTGATTTAAAACATTCAAAGAAACATAAGGTGAAACATCATCTTGACTCGTGGACGTGAACAGTGTACACTTTCTCTTGAAATGTAAGGGGTGGTCGGGGAGTCTAGTGGTGAAAGCGTTCGCTCGTCACGCCGAAGATCCTGGTTCGATTCCCCACATGGGTATAATGTGTGAAGCCCATTTCTGGTGTCCCAGAATTGCCGTGATATTGCTGGAATGTTGCTAAAAGCGGACTTAAATAAACTCACTCACTCACTCTCGCAGTGTATTTGGTAATGAAGAGCATGCACGTGAACGAAGAAGGCTAGTTATTAGCCGTCTGAACATACGAGCCTTAATGCTGCTTTACACGTTCTTTAAATTTTATATTTTACATTTCAAGTGGACCAAGAAGGGCCCTTATCCTCCTTCTCCGTCCTTCCCGAATTAACAAATAAAAGTTACGTTTTATGCCGTAAATTCTATATGGGCGTTCCATCAATGTTCCCCCAGAAGACAGCGTTTCATTGTAGCATGTGTAAATCTAGTATTGTACTGAAGTAACCATACAAACATTAACGAAGATTTTCAGTTACAATCTAGCATGTATTTCCGATGCAATTCCCTATTTGACTTCTATCATATGGTCCCGTGTTTTTTTTTTTCAAAGTTAACAGTTGACTAGCCTTTGCATCTGTATGTGACACGTGGCACCGGTGGGACAGGATAAACGCTCGCCTTTTCGCGAACACCTTGGATCATCACTTTTTCATAGTGACTCATTAACACATGCTCATTATACAGTCGGGATCGTACAATGGACTCTGCTTTCAGAGTTGTCTTATGAATATGGAGAGGGTTCTGTCGTTATATTTACAGGCTGTGAGTTTGACAGGCCATACAGTAAATCATGGATTGGTCCAGTCCTGTACTTGTCATCCTTCGTTCAGTAATGATGCACAGGAGACTACGCGTCTGTGGGAGTTACCATGGTGCCACTCACGTTTAAAATCATCTGCTGAAATGATGAATATCTTTACCGTGTAACTAAAGTAGCACATGCATAAGATATAACTAGCGTTAAGACGTTGTCAGGTGTGGACACAGGCCTGCTGGCGACGTCCTACAGTAACATCTATACTTCTACCGCCAGGGGGGCATTGGTAAACCCACGGGATAATGCGAACGGTGGATCGATGTCGACAGTCTACATGGATACAATGTCCAACACTGAGTCCCAAGATCTTGTTTGACTGTGCTCCCGTCTACCTAAACGAGTAAACGCTGAAAGCATTTAGCTTGCTGTGCGAGGTAACAGTGGAACCAGTTTAAGATCTTTTGTTGCTTTTGTCCTGTTCACTTAATCAATCACTTCAGCTGTCGTGGCTTCCAATTACATACTCTCTCGTTGTGACCTCGGTTTCTGCATCTGTGGTTTCACGGACACAGACATACCGTGGTTATTTCGCGCGTTCTCCAAGTGCACGGAGACCAGACGGTCGATGGTTTGATCCCTGGCCGCGTCATACCTAAAGAAGGTACTTGTTGTTTCTCTGCCTGGCGCTCGGCATTAAGGGGTTAACAGAGGGACGTGGGCTCGGGGTTAGTATACGGTGTCTAGGTGGGTATCAATGTTACACTGCGGCATGTATTTCGGTGGGCTTAGCACTGTAAAACCGGCAACAGCCTTGACTAGTTCAAGCAGACACACACACAAGCACGCAGGCACGCACGCACGTCTGTTTGTAAATGCAATAATCTTTAACGCAACTCTAAACCTCATTTCATGTCAACTCACCTTCCCCAGTGCACAAAAGTTGGTAACACCGCTTTGAACAGTATTTCAGTTGTACGGCGCTTTCATGGTTACTCCATAAATCATAGCTTCCTGGCTCAGAATCACGTATGTGATCTTATATTGCATAAATGCTTAAAGAACACAGCAACAGATCTGATGATAATAATATCTTTGGAATGTAACAGATTAGTTACTGCGAGTGGGTTACTAATAGTAATAAAAGGAGTTAGCTATTAGAGTTACATGACATGGAATTCATCTTCTACAACACCGAGGTCACAATTTGTACATAAAGTATGTGAATAATCTGTCAGTCTCACATTTCCGAGCATTATTTAGAATAAATCTTTTGAAAACAACGTAAAGAAATGATAAATTTACAAAAGACTCTTATTTTGTGTTTGTTTGTTGTTTAACGCCGCACTAAGCAATATTCCAGCTATATTTGCAAAAGGTTACGATAACAGTAAGTGAAATATCAAAATATTGAAAACTCTATGTCCCTTATGGGCCACCGTAAGTAACAGACTTTAAAGTGTTCCCACATACATGCCAGGTTTCATTACAAGAGATTATCACACATTACATTTGTTTTATCAAAAGTTCTTAACCCTATTTATCATAATAAGATGAACAACAATCTGCCTTTGAAGGTCAATAACAAAATATAATAAAATGTCACCTCATCATCTCCAAACCACAAAAGCCATAAATCTTCAATAGCGTGTGTAGCAAAAATAACATGTCATGACAACATGTTGCTTACATATTAACATCGCGTTGAGTAATGTTAGTTTGCATTTTCCTATGTGCAAGAGGTCGGCGTATGGTTCTAGGTAGGAAGTGACAACACCGAGTCAACGGCTTGCGGTATATACAAGTTTTACTTAATACAGTGAGATATATACATACAAGAAGCAATATGTGCCATGTCAGCACATAGTGATAGTAGTGATGGTGTTAGGGAGTGCCCCCGAGCACCTAGTCTAACCCTAGCTAGGCTGGAATAAGATCTAGACCGTCTCTTCGATCCTCTCTGATTTTCACCTTTGGACCAAGGCGTACATACCCAAGGTCACCTGATATGGATTAAGTCATAAACATAAACAACAGTAATTAATCAGTGACATAGTTGCACAGCTCCTTCAGGATGGCAGACAGTCGATGCACAATACAACTGGGACTAACAATTGGGATCTGTATCTTATAAATAACGGCAACTAAGTGATTCAAGACATATACACGCCATGGCTTCAGGGTAATTAGCCTTTGTTTATTCAAGGGTTGTCCCAGATCGGTCGCAATGACAATATCCTAAAGCAGGTCGTTACAAAGACACTAAAGACAGTGAACAGGGATCAAGATACTGTTTTTAATTCCCAAATTGAAACAATATGCTTACCAAGACATCTGTACGTAAAAGAACTTAGTGTGAAACCAAAAACAACAAACAAGTGGCATACAATCAACATATGTATTACAATATTCACTAACAAGTCATTGAA